GCATCCACTCTCCACGTACAGTGCTGCATAAACATGGCTGAGTCAGCGATAACTCTCGAGGGGTGGAGGTATGCCCATTATTTTGAGTTCGTCAAAACTTCGTTAGTCAATGGGAAAAAGTGTTTCCGGGCCTGGCAACCAAACGGAAGTGTAGTACCGCCGTTTGGCCAGCACGAATATTTTCATCTGAGTCCGGCGCACTTCCTGGGGCTGACTACCGCCGCCTGCTGGTAAGGAAAGTTATTGCCACTCACGCATGCGCAGTTTGTACGTGCTCGGCGAGTAAAGTAACGAGTAAAGTAACGAGTAAAGTAACGAGTTACTTTATGTAGATAGTAACGAAGTAGTGTAATATATTACATTTTTTAAAGTAATACATTTATAATTTATAATTTGTAGTTCAGGACCATGGACAATGCAGCTTCCTTGCATTGACAGTTGTCTGTGCTGAATTTCTGCTGAGTTTCCTTTGCCTCATTTTCTATTTTGTGACCTGTCTGGTGTAAATGAGTGTGTTGCTGCTTTGATGAAGCCTAATTTGATAAAGTTTCAAATTAATTTCGGAAATATTTCGTAATATAGTTGTCTTTGTCACATTTTATTTGGCATTAGTAAATACTTATGCACATGTACAGATACTTTACATGATATGAGTGATAACACGTGTTATAAGGGCTATTTTTTCACAATAGGTGTGCCTTGAGATTTTTTACTTGTCCTTTGGTGTGCCTTGGGCACAAAAAAAGTTTTGGGAACCACTGGTATAAATGATAGTGGGCGTCTGAGGGTGTCATTACTGAGAAATGTCAAAGAAATTCAAAACCTTACATTTTAAAACAGGTTTGCATTCCTCCACTTAAGGTGACGTTATCATTGGAAACAATAAAACCGAACTATTTTGATGTAGAATCTATAAATTGAATCGTTAGAGCAGAACAAAATGGTTGTATTGTAGCCTGAGTTCCGTGCAGTCTCTAGTTTCAACAGGTGGAAACATGGTCCATATAATGTGAATACATGCAGAAGTAGACAGTAAGAGGCCCCTGACATTAGGCCTATTTGTTAAAATAGTAGGGGCTCTTCACTCTGCATAGCAGTATGAATAGCCTTAAAAAAACAAACAACCCACTCCATGGTAACGAGAGTCATATTTCTGACCCATATGCCCTAAGTGAAGCCGTTAGTCTCATCTAACTGACCCAAGGGTTGGTGCTGGTGTGACAGTTCCAAGTGTTCAGAGCAGACGTCAAGCTTTCAGTTCATGGCTCGGTGGGGGGAAGCAGACCCACGTGAGACAGTATCAAGGCTGTAATGTTCAGTGTGAGGAGCGTCATTCTCTCTGGGTGCAGGAAATGGTGCCCATTCTTGGACCAAACCATTAATGTCATGTAGAGCAGCCATAGCATCTCTGTGACTGCACTCAGCCGAACTGTAGCAGGGTAGAGCTGGGTGACTCTTAGTGAAGCTGTCCAACGCCATTAGACAAAATGGAACCACGTGCTAACAAAAAGACACAGGGTCATCAATGTCTCTCTTTACCATTGGCCTAATCATAAACAAATTAGTGGGAAAAATGTGGAACACTAATCCATCATGTGGAATGTTGAGTTAATTTAAATAATTACTTATGGAATGAAATCAAATTAACATTAACATTAGAACTAAAGTCAGTTAACAAATTTGACTTGCACAGATCAGTAATCAATACACCATTTTCCCAGCTCTGTGATGAAAACGATAACAAGCAGGGATGCATACTTGTCATATTTTGGGGAAATTTGCCGTTTTGAATCCAAAATAGGTCGTTTGTGTGATTCATGTTGATCTGCAATAAAATATTATTGGGGTATGGACAGGGTTGCTAACTTTGGGTACCTGGCTGGAGTGAGATTTTGATATCATGGGTTTAATTACACACATGCGCACGAAGTGACTGCTATCATGTCAGTAGCGGGACCTTAGCATATATTTAGGATATATATATATAATATATATATATACAAATACACAAGATTGGACACAGACTATAAAGGGCACACAGTTTCATTCACTAATGAAAGTCAAACACATGTTTGTTTCCACTGTTTTATTGTGTGCCTGTCGCGATAAGCAACTAATTGACTTATCGGCTCCCGAGTATTTGGTATACTATGGTAGGGCTAACCCATACAGTGGTGGGGCTCAAATCAGTATTTGAAATGTAATTACATACACGCTATATCGCCCCCTTGTCAGTGAAACGCCACGCGTGAGGTTTAGATTATTTCCCTGTCTCAATCCAAATTGAACTGTATGAAATAAAAATAAAAATAAAAACATTTGTCTTGTAGTAAATAAAAAGGGCGACCTGGAGCCAATCCTGCCATTTCCTCACAAGTGAAAGTGTTGACATGCTGAAAACCCAACCGCCGCTTGGGGTCTGGGGGGATTTCCCCCAGGAGATTTTTTTGAAATACTAACATAAAATACACATTCTTTCTTGAGAGGAAAACAAATAAATCCATCTATTACTACACGACATATTTAAATTAAGCTGAACCTGCTGCTCCTCGGGAAGAGGCTGTGTGAATTACTTTACATTACCCCATGGTTCTGTGTGTCAAAATGGAAGGTTTCTGGCTAACGTTAGCTTAGGTACTCAGATCTTGTTCTTGAGTACAAGTAGAAGTACCAGAGTGTAGGAATACTAAGTTACAGTAAAAGTACTGCATTCAAAATGTTACTCAAGTAAAAGTATAAAAGTATTGTCATCAAAATATAGTGAAAATAGCGACAGTAAAAGTAGTCACTGTGCAGATTGGTTTATTTCAGAATAATATATATGATATGTTTTATAATGATTGATCATGAAAGTGTTCTCAAAGCTGGTAAAGGTGCAGCTAGTTTGAATGACTTTGTATACTGCAGGGTAGCTGGTGGATTTACTCCAGGTGGAACTAAAGTCTGATTCAACACTTGATTAGATGTCACATCATTCATCCACATCTGAAAGTAACTAAAAGGTATTAGATACATGTAGTGGAGTAGAAATACACCATGTACCACTGAACTGTAGTGGAGTAGAAAAATAAAATAGCAAAACATTTTAAATACTCAAATAAAGTACCAGTATCTCAAAATTGTGCCCAAGTATAGTACTTGTTGAGTTTATGAACTTAGTTACTTTACACCAGTGGCTATACAGATAGAAAGACTAAGCCTTGCACAGAGGCATGAAAATACATTTTCAAAGTGCTCAAAAGTTCTGCCAAAAAAAAAAACTGACTGCTGAAATTAGATGTTCCTTTGTGCTCAGGCCATAAAACCCCCAACGCACCGTGCTGTGGTCTGCTTCAGATTATCTTTTCCTTCCAGAGGTCACGCCTGTCTCTGACCCTGTGTCTTGCATTTTTTTTCTTTTTTTTTTTCTTCTGCAGCACCAAGCAGAGTAAAGAAAAGGGAGGGGATTTGACTAGAAATAATTTGAAACAGTTTAATAAAGAATGTTGAACTATATTTAAAACTGTAATTGAACTTCAACTTATATCAATTTTCCAATTCCAGTGGCCAGTTGGAAACAGATAATGACAAAGTTTTCATTTTGCAGCAACCGTGCAAAAAAAGTTCAATCACCATTATGTCTGAGTCTTGTCTTATCTGCTTTGTTTCGGAATGTGTTCAATACATTAGGTTTTTTTATTTTCATTATTACCATACAATACATAGATTAATAATAAATGAAACAAATAATACAACATTGACCTATTTGAGCAGACAGATGACCCGCAGTGATGCCTCTGAGGTTCCCGGGTGTAAGACGCCTTTTGCTATTTATTTTCCTTTTGCGGAAATGTATATTACAATGTATAATTTTGCTCTACATCCCTACATCATGCATTTTTCTCAAGTAATTTACTTTTGGTGAGATAACTAAAGTTTAGTTCATTTTACCTTGGCTGTGGACTGATTCATTATTAGTTGTTACAAAGCATGCACAAGACGGCGGGTAGACAAACAAACACGAAACAATTATACAAACAAACATGAACCCGCAACAAATCAGCGCCCTGGCCAAAAATTCATCCAGTTTAATTTAGTCCGAAATTACGGAAACGTCAACGGGAGCACTGAAATATCTGTTTAATATGGGCTCTTCTCAGCCATATTTACTAGTAATCTGTTGATGAGCAATAAACTACCTTATTCTCAATCAAAACCACTATGCAAATGTAGTGGTAAAACTGCTCAACCGACCGAGAGCAGAGATTTTCTTAATTAATTCAGTACTTATTTGATTTATTTTGTATTAAACAATATCCAATTCAATAATCCGTTAGTTTATTAAACACAGTGTGAATGTAATATTCTGCCACCACCCTTCCCATTTAATAGCTAAATTTAGTTCTTGAGCTTATGGTGTGATCAACAGAAAATACAAGTCTGTGTTCTTAAACATTCCTCGTGTGCCGTTCACCACAGGGGGGAGGGGAATTCGCCCTCCCTCGTGCAGGCTTGAACAGACACCCGAAAACGGATTGGTCTGATTTAACCCGTTGAAATCTCCAGAATTTGGCAATTTGTTTCAATTACAATTCCTCACATTGCTTTTTGAAACAGAGGTTCCACCTTGCTAATGCTTTCCTTAAGGTCTCTCCGAATATTTGCAGTGTGTGATTGTCCAGTAATTTAATTCTAGAAAACACACACAGCGGAAATCGTTAAAAGTCGATGTTCCGAGGTTATTTATTAGCCCCAAATATTCTTATTGTTTTATACATGAGCTGTGCTTGCTTTTGTTGGCACTTGCCCCAGCAGCAATCACAGGAAAAACCGGCCAGGATAGAATCCCCCTCGACACCGATTTCTCAGGTTATGATTAAGCCTTCAAATGTACATAGTGGAGAGACCAAAACAAATTGCACTCGCGCAGTTTCACAGGTAATTTTGATACCGTCAATCACAGAGTCTGGTAAGGCAGTTGTTCAAATAGATTTGAAAAAAGCACTTACCAGTCTTCTGAAGAAATGTCGGTATCCTGTTCGTAGACGCCAATTGTGAAGATAAACTTCTGTTGTTGCAATGTTGAGGTAGAATGAAGGAGTCTGGACCCGTCATTAGCCAAAGCACTGAGAGTTTTATTGATCACAGTACATTAATACGGCCGGGGAGATCACTTAGTTTCACACTGTCCCGTGCTCCACCATCATGATCTCTGCCCCAAAAGACACAAAACATCTAACAACACGAGGAGAGGCGGGCTCCCAGAAACCCGCGTTTACCTAATTAATAGCAGATGGGAGACAATAGTCTACTTGTCTCAAAGAGATGCAGACAAGCCTCAACCCTCCCCCACGGATATAGGAGAAGCGTTTGACCTGTGACCTCAACTTACAGAGGAGTCTTTGACTGATAAGTCAAACACATGTTTGCAGTATCACAGAATCTAAGAAACTATAGGAAACTCTATAAACAGATCAGATTAAAATATTCTCTTACACTTACCTACCCCACCTTTAAACACGGCTAAAACTGAAGTTTTTGTACTCGGCCCAAAGACTCTACGAAACAAACTATCTAAAGATATATTAACTATGGATGGCATTAATTTGGCCTCCAGTGAGACTGTAAGGAATCTTGGTGTTATTTTTTATCAGGATTTATCCTTTATTTACACATAAAATCTATCTCAAGGACCGCCTTTTTTCATCTACGTAACCTAGCAAAAATCAAGTTTGGTAATATGCATAAAAACTACGATATGGTAAAAATACTCACTTGCCTAATAATTGTGCAAAGTGTATGTTCATTTTGTAATTTAACCTAATTTATGTACATGAAAAACTTTTATTCATAAAGTAGTACATGTCCTTTTATTCATATTTTCATGTACTAAATGAAGAAGTGCAGACATAAATATTAACTGTTTCTCAAAGGAACTGTAATAGATGTTAGTTATAAAAAGTAAATCAATGTTTTAATATTTAGTAAACGATAACATCTGAATAAAGATCATCTGAAGCAATATTAGTTGTACATGATAAAGTTTACTTTCTGAAGGAGACAGATTTTATTGTTCACATTAATTTCAATGTTGAGTAACACATCTGATTATAAATTCATTTTTTATCCTCATCATGTTTTCTTTGTTCAGTCTGAGGTACTGCAGTTTGTCAGAGATCAGCTGTGCTGCTCTGATCTCAGCTCTGAAGTCCAACCCCTCCCATCTGAGAGATCTGGACCTGAGTCTCAACGATCTGCAGGATTCAGGAGTGAAGCTGCTGAAAGATCTTCTGGAGAGTCCAGACTGCAGACTGAAGACTCTCAGGTCAGTTCACTGACTCTCTGTTACTGCTGGTGATCTAACATGTTTCATTAGTTATTCAACCTGGCTCTAGTACATAAATATATTACATCCATACATTTGTAATTTTTGTTTTATTTATATTTTAATTGTTGCATACTAAATGAAGTACTTAAAGGAACTGTAATAGCTGTTATTTGTAAAAATTAAATCTATGCAGGGCTCAACGCTAACTTTTAAAAGTGGTTGCCAGGCTGGCAACCAGGCATCAGCTTTTGGTTGCCAAAACTGAAAATACGGTTGCCATTTTTAGTCACCTTATATTTTAAATAATTAAGATACTATACAGTTATACATCAACTTAATAATGAACATGTGACACAAAAGAATGTTCAGATGCTTTACAATAAGTAATTAACACAATTATTTGAAACTTAAGTGGTAGGAAACTTGTCCACCCTCAATTGCTGGTATACAAAATACCAGTAGTGCAGCTGTTGTCATGTTCTTCACAGATCCCTCACAAATGAATTGAGCAAGTCACTAGTTTCTTGGTCATCCGTTGTCTCCCTTTCAAATGTGGGTTTTTTGGACCTCTGTGCTGACCCCCACCATATATCCACTGGCCCTTAAGCATTGAAGTCTTGGATTGGCCAGACTAATACATTTCTAATGTTAAATCAATGAAAACCATTCACAGTTAAGAATTAGATATTAATTATTAATGCTGTAAATTACCTTTAATATGTCTAACTATATTTAAAATGTGTTACCTTTTATAGAAGTGGTTATATTTGTATGCCAATATTTTTTAATGGTAAAGTTTCGTTTTTCACTTTTATTTTGGTAGTAATACGATCTGGACTCTTATTTTGAAGGAACTTTTGCCGGAAGTGAATGGACAACGGAGCAGAATGTTTCGCCTCCCAAGACTTTACCCATTTCCTCTTTGCTTTTCGTTCGGGTTCACCTTGCGCTTTATCAGTTGAATCACTTTGAACATTCGTTTGAGATGTTAACGGGTTGGCAGAACTTTTTACCCCACAGTCAAACAACTTAATTTGCTTCGCCATTTTTTGTAAAACAAACACACGGCGCACCGCGCACGCTAGTAAACTTGCATCGCTTTCTGGCTCCGTAATCACAGCAATGCACATGCAACTTAAGTATCAGGTTCCGACTGGTCACAACAATAATTAAATATCACTCTGAATACAACAAATAATTAACATTTATCTATTTTGGGGTGCACATTTTGCTGCTTGATGTCCTTATTTATTTATGTTACTGATAGCAACCAAAGGCCAAGAAGTGGTTGACATTTTTTCTGAATGGTTGCCAATGGCAACCTGGCAACCGTTACTGTCGAGCCCTGCTATGTTTTTAATATTTAGTAAACGATAACGTCTGAATAAAGGTAATCTAAAGTAATATTAGTTTTACATGATAAAGTTTACTTTCTGAAGGAGACATGTTTTTTTTGTTCATTCATTTAAATGTTGAGTAACACAACTGAATATAAACTGATTTTAATCCTCACCATGTTTTCTTTATTCAGACTGGAGCGCTGCAGTTTGTCAAAGATCAGCTGTTCTGCTCTGGTCTCAGCTCTGAAGTCCAACCCCTCCCACCTGAGAGATCTGGACCTGAGTCTCAACGATCTGCAGGATTCAGGAGTGAAGCTGCTGAGAGATCTTCTGGAGAGTCCAGACTGCAGACTGGAGACTCTCAGGTCAGTTCACTAACTCTCCGTTACTGCTGGAGATCTCACATGTTCAGTTTGTAATTGAACTTAATGTATGTGTATTAATAACTTACATCCATAAAGTAATACAAGTCGTTTTATTCACATTTTAATTTGTACTTACTAAAGGAAGAACTGCAGACATAAATATTGACTGTTTCTTAAAGGAACTGTAATAGCTGTTGTTGGAAAAAATGAAGTGTATGTTTTTAATATTTAGTAAACAATAACGTCTGAATAAAGGTAATCTGAAGTAATATTAGTTTTACATGATAAAGTTTACTTTCTGAAGGAGACAGATTTTATTTTTCCCATTCATTTCAATTTTGAGTAACATGTCTGATTATAAACAGATTTGTATCCTCCTCATGTTTTCTTTATTCAGACTGGAGAGCTGCAGTTTGTCAGACATCAGCTGTGCTGCTCTGATCTCAGCTCTGAAGTTCAACCCCTCCCATCTGAGAGATCTGGACCTGAGTGAAAACAATCTGAAGGATTCAGGAGTGAAGCTGCTGAGAGATCTTCTGGAGAGTCCAGCCTGCAGACTGGAGACTCTCAGGTCAGTAAGGTGTCTCTGCTGGTTCAGCAGTGTTGTATTAAACACAGGGAGGTGTTTCTCTCACTGGGGAATCACAACAGATCAGTGATGTTACCCACTGACTGCAGGTATTTTCATTCTTCCATAAACTATAGAAGGCCTGCCGAAAATGCAAAGCCCCATTTAGTAAGTAATCAAATTTCTAGGGCTGCCCTCGACTACAGATTTTTCTAGTCGATTCATAGTCGTCAATTCAGGCGATTAGTCGACTCACGTTTATGATATATTATGATTATTAATATATTTGTTTTTTTTTTCCCAAAAGGTTTCAGTTTCCAAGGCTGATAAATAACATTATTATAACAGCATGGTACGTTGTGCTTCACATCAAATATAAAAGAAAACTGGAATAATGAACCTTTGAAATATAAATTAAATCTTACGGTAGAAAGCGAATGAGAGTCACAGCGTACGGACGCAACGGTATAAACAGCAGAAGCTCCGGTAAGGATACTTAATGTGTGTGAACAAGCAACATGGACACACACACACACTGAACATTTAGTTCTATTTTATATAATTCATATCTAAATATAACAACCCAATAAATACTACAGAGGAAACGGAAACACTGAAAATATGAGCGTCGGCAAAAATCCCTCCGGACATTACGCCCTCATCATGAAAAGAAAGCTTGAATTTATCGTGTTCTGAGGTCAGAATGATTATATATTATAGGTCTATATACAGTATGTTGATACAAAGCTATAGGCTACTGCCTGACTCACTGCTGCTGTTTTCCTCCGAGTCTGAGAAAGGAACACACGTTGTCGGGATAATTATACGGAGGAGACTTTTTCTCTGTGGAGTTTGCATGTCACCTTGTGGGACTCGTCCTTTACTCGCTCAGAAAGATCCACACTTTAGATTTCCTGCCCGACAAAATTATCCTAATGACCAGGCTCGGCTCTGAATGAAGTCAGAGGGTTTCCAGCTGACTCCTCAAATCACATGCAGAGAGCGGATGGAGCTTTTTTTTTGTTCGACTAATAGACTAATGATGAAATTAGTCAACGATACTTTTTTAGCCGATTAACGTTTAGTCGACTAATTGGGGGCAGTCCTAAAACTTTCCACCAGACAAATGGGATTTTACAGAAGAGAGGAAAAGGTAGTCTATTTTGTATGGGATGTTTCTAGTTTCTAGACTAATGACTGGTTACTTCCTGTAATGCAGCTGAGAGCTGTGGCAGTCAGTCGTAGTGATTGCAGAGAAGATATGATGGGATGTAAAGCATGAGATCAGGACTCTGAAGCTGACTAACTCAAAGAACAAACACTTATTTTAAACTTGATCTAAAACGTTTTGGTTGTGTTCATCCCTACAGGATCAGAGGAGAGACAATCAGAGCCAAGATCCAGAAGAACTGTAAGTACTGAAACCATATCCTCCATTCATCAAGATATTAAACTCTTTAATGGAGCATGTCCTCAGAGTAAAACAACATTCTTGTGTTTCTCTCTTCATCATTTTGGTTGTTTCTCTTCATGTTTTTATTATCATCATCATTCTCTCTCACCTTCTCCTCTCAGGTGAACAGGAAGACAGAAAGGTGAGAGGTCGTACCGTGTGAAGTTTATTTATTGAGATTTCCCTATTTCTCTTTCAGGTCCGGGGGGGTTACCTGTTGACCCGTGTACGTCTCCAGAAGTGTCCGCAGGCATCCCCTAATACTGCGGTTGGGGGGATGACGTTCAAAAGCACTGTTGTCTTTGAAACGCTCTCAAAGTCTTTGATGACAAAGTCAGAAAAATGACAGGAAGAAATATTTTGAAACTCTTGGACTTTGTGTTTTTCACCCCAGGTTAATTAATGTCCAATCAAATGTTTCCTTTGATTTCTAAAAGGAGCTCTGCCTGGTGCCATTGAATGCATGTAGTCTGTATGAAGTGTAATCAGATATAACCTTTAAGATGTGTTGTGATATCTCTAAAAGGAATTACAGCTGTGCAGAGAGTGGATTCAGATACTGTTGACGGGGGTCTATGTGCAGGTGAAGAACTGACCCTGGGTCAGCAGAATTCCTGCAGTGGACAGGCTTTAGATGTCCTGCCGATGTGGAGACACCTCGTACAGGAAAGAGTTTTCATGGTTTCTCTGTTCTCCTTTATAAGGTAACTCACTGCAGGACTGCCTCTCTCTTTAGGACGGACAATGTTCACATTAAAGATCTGTATATAAATACAATATAAATTATATCTCCTGTACATATCCAGGCTGAGTGGACAGTCTGACTCCGGTCTGACAGTCATGTTGAGAACAACTCGACTTATACTTAATAAGTCTTAATAACAACTTAATAACCTTCACCCATTGTCCCTGCTAGTGTTTTACCTGCCGACACGCAATCAGTGATTTAGAAGCTGCAGCTGATCTGAGGCCAGTCCCTGCAGCTCCACAGCCAGTGAAGACAGATAAAACTCAACATCACTCATCAGTAGGGATGTATCGATGCATCGTGAACCGGTTAAAAATCGGTACAGATGCGTTAAGATTAAAACCGGTTGAGCTAAAAAATTAATCGTGATGCAATTTTAACGGCACAGGTTGTGAACTAATTTAGATTTGATTTGCTGGAACAGCAGTCTGGACATGATTGAACGCTATCTAGAACAACAACTTGCTGTGGCAGCTGCTCTGCTCAGTGCAGACGTCTGTCGAAATGCCCGTGAAATCGACACACTGGATAACTCAGACATCCGTGATGCCGAGGACCGGGAGTGGAGTGCACAGCTGGGCGTAACTCTACATCCGACGTAGAACCAAAGGTTAAGACCAAACTAAAGTTATGACTAGTGCACCACTTAGACTTAAGCCCTGTATGCGTTGCGCTCGGGTGTAACTTGTACACCTAGTATGGAGCAGGCGTAAATCGGAAAGACAGACTAGTATCCATAGTAACGTAAAACAGGCAAGAAGGATATTAACGATGGCAGGGCGTCTTGTTTACATGTTTAACAATGAAAGGGCATTAAGAAGAGTCTCAATTTCTCCTTCTCCAGCTCAATTTTTTCGTGTTCCGCTCTCAATTTGACGGTCTCCACCTCCACACGAACGATTTCTTTCTCCGTCAGTTCCCGCTGTAGCTCTGACAAATCCCTCTTTCTCTTTCGGGGTGTGGCCATTTGGGATTCCCCTTGAGTCATCGCTGACGCTGTGGGTGTGGGAATTCCCTCTTCTCTGCGGTCCTCTGAGTCTGTAAAATGGTAAAATGGCGTTGCTTGGCAACAATTACTGTTTCGCGTGTATTCACGTGGACGCGCATCTTAAGACCAGGCGCAGCTACGCCTGAGACTAGTCAGGCTTGGTGCACTCGGTGTAAATTCGAATCACTACGTCGGACGTAGCTAAGCCCGACGTTAGAGTTAAGCCCTACTTTTTTACGCCCAGCTGGTGCACTCCACTCCAGGGGTGTAGAGCTGCCGGAGCACACCGGAACGCCGCTCGGCACTTCAAACATTGCAGTACCCATAAGGAGCCGTACACATGCAGCAGTTTTTGCGTGGCTGTGTCTTTAGTTGAAAGCCCAGTCTGGGTATCTGTCATACAATAAAGCCATCGAAAATAATATGATACAGTACAAGTGCTTATGGGTCTCTGTGTTTCATTCAAACTCGGCTCTGTGTGAGTGCGCGAGCGAGCACACCGGTACCGGGGATTGTTGTTAGCATCTGGTTAGCTAGCTACGCTAACGGATATAAAGAGCTGTTTCGAGAACAAGGTGGAGGAGAGCCCTCTCCTGTCGGATAACTACAGCTCAGTGAGGTAAGGGACTCTCTAGTTTAGATAGTTAACTTAAGTCTAAGTTATCTCAGTCTCAAACGGTTTGGTCATCATTTATGTAAACAAGTATTTCCGAGGCACACCTTTTTATATGATCATTATAGTTATAAAAAAATAAGAGAATAAATGAAAAAAAGGTATGAAATACTGTAGATTTGTAAAATATCCATTAAGAAAAATTAAATCTGTTTACAGTTCTGTTTCATATGGGTGTTGAGAGCTGTATCCATAGATCTCTTGATCGAGCAGAGCATACATTTCAAGCTGCACTTTATTTTTATTTATTTGAAGGGGTTTTTTCTTTTGATGGAGTCATTTTGATTTGGGATTTTTTTTCAAAATACAATTATGTATCTTTTTGTTATTTAAGATAAAACAGTTGCACAGTTGCACAGTTTACAGTTTCAGTTGCACTTTTGATGAGAACATGTACGTTGTTTTGTACAGTTTATATAAATACAGAAATATTTTTCAGTCATTTCTCTGCAGCTCATTCTGTTAAAAACAATAATAAATCTTTAAAAAATCGTAACTTAAAATCGTGAATCGTATCGAATCGTGAGTTGAGTGTATCGTTACATTCCTACTCGTCAGGCATCAGAGAGACTTCAAAGGGGTCGAGCACCTGCCCTTTTGCCTCCTATTAGAAAAGAGCCCTTTTTCAATGCTTTGCTACATTATCCTACATAAAACAAAAGTATAAACCTGTGTCTAACACACCTTCTCTAAAGCTTATGTGTTGCTTTTCATAACTGTGTGGAAATTATATATTATGTGAAATTTGAATTAAATTAAACAATTTATTTGGCACATAGACAGTCATAGCTGAGTTTTTCTAAAATCACAAAAATTCTGACGTTTTCTAAAAATTCCATCTTTTTCTAAAATCACAACAATTCTGATATTTTCTCAAAATTCCGACTTTTTTCAAATAAATGTATAAATTCTGACCTGTTTTTATAAAAAGATGGGTTTTTTTTAAATCACAAAATTCGCACTTTTTCCTAAAATCACATAATTCTGACTTTTTTCCTAAAATCACATAATTCTGACTTTTTTCCTAAAATCACATAATTCTGACTTTTTCCCTAAAATATCTAAATTCCCACTTTTCCTTGAATCACAAAATTTGGACTTTTCTCAAAATTCTCACTTTTTCTTAAAATTCTGACTTTTTACTCGAAATCTCATACTATATAGTATATATAATTATTGAGATTCTCAGAACCTGGATCTTCACTCTTCAGCCGGTTCCCTGTAACCCATGCATCGTCTGTGATATTCCAGTATCGACAGTCAGGAAATGCAACATGTCTCCAGTGTAATTTGCACCTACTGCTTTTATTTTCTAAGCGTTTCTGTTTTTAATAAATGGAGATTATTCAACTGTGTGGAAGAGTTTTATTCATACAGCATTATGTGTCCATCAGCAGAAGAGGACTTTTTAAAGTAGAGACACTACTGATATACACCTGAACATCAGCAGGAGAGGACTATTCCTATTCCTATTAAGCCTGACAAAGTACTTAACGTCTATGTTGAAGCACTTATTTTAACTGATATTATATACATTAATTATACTCTTATGTATGTAGATAGTATAAGAAATGTGCAGAATATGACAGTTTAATGGTGGAGGTATACACACATATTGATAGATGTCTTGTAATGCACTGTTGAGGAACCTGCGACCCAAGTTTGTCCTCATTGCATAACTACACCGTAGTTGTGTATATGATATGTCAATAAACCTTTGAAAATCAAGAATAACGAGTAATGAATATGCTTTATAGGGATCTGCAGATGAATGTTTAGTGTTCTCAAGCACCAACTATCAAATATCCTGCCTGATTGTTGGCACTTGACAATCACCTTTCCCTGAATTTTACTCAGGTGTAACTAGAGTCTGATTTAAGGGTTGTTTATATTTCACATCATTAATCAGAATCTGCAAAGTAACTCAAATAAATGTGGTGGAGTAAAAATACCAGGTTAACCTCTGAATTGTAGTGGAGTAGAATTACAAAGTACTGTAATAGGGGTGTAACGGTTCACAAACATTTCGGTTCAGTTTTTAGGTCACGGTTTGGTACGCTTTTGGTACAGCAGAAAAAATGATCACAAAACATAAAACATTTTTTTTTTTAAATTATTATTATTAAACTGTGAATAATGTATTCACTCAAATAAATACAAAATATAATAAAATAAACATTAAGGTGCAGCATTTCGATTAACTGAAATAATCTGTATTTGTACTGTACTAGTACCTAAGCAGCCAGTTTGACACTATGACTTGCTTGTCATTGTATTGTCATGTTTTTTTTTAAAGAAAAATGAACTTGTCCACATTGCTTGCCGAAAGGGCAGATCTGCTGGCACTAACAATGTCTCCTGCTGTGGAGAACACCCTCTCGCTAGGGACAGAGGTAGCAGATACAGCCAGGTAGCGCTTTGCTAACATAGCAACATAAGGATATTTGGCGTTTGTAATAGCTTTGGCTCGGTCTGAACTCTCTGCGAGTGGTGGAGGCTTAAATGCTAGTGGGAGTTGGTTTTGCACTTCAGTCTTTTTTCTTTTGGTACCGGTGATATTCACGTTCGGGTGATGCCTTTTCAAATGAGTGTGCAAGTTTGATGTATTGCCAGCCGCGTAACAGTGGCGGCTCCAGAGTATTTGTGTTGGGTAATCTATGGTAGGGCTAACCCATACAGTGGTGGGGCTCAAGTCAGTATTTGCAATGTAATTACATACACGCTCCCCTTGACAGTGAAACACCACGCGTGAGGTTTAGATTATTTCCCTGTCTCAATCCAAATTGAACTGTATGAAATAAAAAGGCATATTTGTCTTGTAGTAAATAAAAAGGGCGACCTGGAGCCAACCCTGCAATTTCCCCACAGGTGAAAGAGTTGACATGCTGAAAACCCAACCCCTGCAGGGCGAGAGTTTTTGAAATACTAACATAAAATACACATTCTGGTACTCTCTTGAGAAGAAAATAAATAAATCTATTACGACACGACATGTTTAAAAAAATGAATTCCATTTTAGTTTTTTGTTACTTTGTTCTGAAAGCTGAACCTGCTGCTCCTCACAGAGAGAAGAGGGAAGAGGCTGTGCGATGACTTTACATTGTGGATAAGGGTGGATAGCCCCCATTGTTCTGTGTGTCAAAATGAAAGACAGCCCACACACCTATCAATCATCAAACCGTGGGGTCTTATTTCATTATGTGTTGATTTCTATTAACATGTAATGTATCGATGTGTATAGCATACCTGCCAACCCTACCGATTTGGGCGGTAGTCTACCGCCTACCGACTTAGCTGGCTTTCCCTACCGATTTTCAATCTTCCCAAACTATAACAAATAAAAATGACTACATAGACACTGGACTCGACTTTTGGCGGACACCGTTTGCAGCGTGTCTGTGATCGCATCATACAAACAGTCCTCTGTGTTTCTGAAAGAGAAACAACGTGCAGACCGGGGGTAACGCTGCCTTTCCTCTGCACCCCCGGGGCTGATGGGTAATCACTCCCAAATGAGTTTAGGTGCATTCACACCTTACGGCCCGTCCACACAGCGGCGTGCGTTGAAGCTTCCAATGCTTCTGCCCATTCACTTTGAATGGGGTGACGTCACTTTTAGCCGAACTGCATTTTGGGAAGCGACGTGGAGCGTTGCTGGCGTTGCTCGCTTGAAAAGTTGAGCAATGTTCAACTTTTGGCGCCTCGGCAGAAGCGTCAGCCAATGAAATCCCGTTTATGCAAATCTGCCAGTACAAGCGCTAGCCAATCAAACCGCGTGTATGCTGGGAGAGACTACGCAGGTCATTTCCTCATATTCCAAAAAATGGAGGGAAAATTCATTATAGCGGTAGTGAATCACCCGGTGCTGTATGATCAGTCTCTATTCA